TACCCTTGTACTGGTATATATCCCCAAGAAGTCGAGAATATCTATTCCACTTGCCCCTTTCGTATTGCCAGTATAAATTTCGTTTTCTGGTGATTGATGAATCCCTTTTAAGTCTCTTAATTCCTTCCTGACGCCTTAACTACATTTTGAGCTTATATCGACCCGCTACACGAACCAGGGGTTCGAACCCATTAATACGAAATTCAGTTCCCGCCGTAACAAATCTCGGTTAGGCCTGATACCACATCCGCATATAAGATTCCAGGGCAGTAAGATACCTCACTCCAGAGCCGGGTTTTTAGGCTCTTGTAGTATATTTTCAAGCAGTTGCAGTAACTACAGTTATGATTATTACATATGTACGTACGGTGCTAGAAATATGCCTACTAAACTAGAATTGTTGTTGTGTCTATGTGTAACAGTGCGATAGTCCGTCAATGGGACTGGTAATGCGCCGTTGTCTAAGAATTCAAATGCGTTCGGCATCCTGCAGCTGGGAAACCGAAGTGAGTGATGGGTGATGATCAACTAGACAAAATCTAGACATGTGCGCTAATGTCACTAGATAGCGTCAGATCCTGAATTCTATCAGTTGTTAAGCAGGTATTTTGAGTTTGTCATTACCAGAAAAAAAAGTTCAATGCCCCTTTGTACATACAAGTAAGTGTACGTGTTAGAATGTGAACCTAAGTTACACAGCCTAAGGCAATAGGCTCCCTTCGACGTCGAAGCATCACATAATCTGAGGAGCCACTAGGTAAAAGCACTTTCTTTAGTTCTAAAGTACGTACCTGTTCTTCTCATCTAGCTTCAGTGAGCACTTCACCTCGTCTCCGATAACTTATCTGGAGAATACCACGGAGAATACCACCGGCCAGATATGCCTCCCAAGAAAGAGAAAAAAGAGCACCTTGCCGGTGATCAAGGTGAGTGAGGGAGAGGCTCTCAGCTCATGTTTACTTTTTTCATTCCAGAGCCGATATTAATCTGTGTTCCTGCATCACACAGCCAATGAGCTGATCATCGACTACCTCCGTCAACAAAATCGACCATATTCTGCTACAGGTAAGCCATATTTGCTCGCTTCTTTTGGGGTAATCTCCGTCAGCTGGTGTTTGTTTTCAACTAATAGTAGTTAAGATGTTAGTGCAAACCTTCATAATGCAGTTACTAAAAGTTAGTAACAACTCCGAGGAGAATTAGACCTCTCCTTCTAAGTGGATGAGTCTTTATCTCTAGCTTTCAGTTACTGATAAAAAACCGAGCAGCTACTGCGGCAAAGATATTGAAAGAGCTCCACGAGAAGGGAGAAATCGAGGGAAGAGCTTCTGGAAAGCAAATAGTATATCACGCTATCCAGGTCTGCCACCTCTTGTTTCATCTGACCTATGCAGCAAATACCTTGTCTGACTCATGGAAATATTTTGTAGGATCCTAATGATTTTGCGAGTACAGAAGACCTGAAGGCTATGGACGAGAAGATTGCGGGTATGTATATGGTCTTCTCTTCGGCTGTTTCATGCTTTTGAGTATTTGTTCCCAGAGATACTCAATAGCTGAAGCTTCTACAGTGGTGGCGAGTGTGGCTAAGTGAAACGTCTAGGTACCAAGCTCAAGATAGTCAAGGTGAAAGCTGAGCTCAAGTCGCTCCAAGGCACCCTGAATACACTCAAAGCAGCACCTACAGTTTCCTCACTCTGTGAGACTGTTGGTGTTCTTGAAGCCGAGATTCAGAAACTTGAGTCTTCCCTGAAGCCTATTAGAGCAGGTCCCGTCAAGTCTATTTCTGCTAGTGAAAAGGCTGCCATGGACGTCGAGTATGTCAGGCTTGAGACTTTGCTGAGGCGGAGAAAGAAGACGTTCAAGGAATTCTGGGGGACAATTTGTGATGGCTGCGGGGATTTGAACCCCAGTGACCTTTGGGTAAGTCTGATCGTGATCACAATTCATGAACCTCTCATACTCGTACGACTCCTTTCTTTCTAGCGCCAACCCCATTTTTAATGTCTTTATGGATATCTTCTCCGGGACCTATCAGCTCCTTAGGTTTTCTTTGAAATACCTCTTTATACCACTCAGCCCCTCTGATATCTATCATTGGTTTTTATTTTATTTTTTCATGGTCGGACCATGTTGAAATACACCGTGAAAAAGAGAGACAGTGTCGATCTTGAGCAGCGGTTATGTACATAGTTGCGCAAACCATTGGTCACGGACACTGTCTCTTTTGTCGAGAAATGTGGGGAAGCGGGTGATGGCGCGCCGTTTACTTTTTCCTTGCCTTGTATTTTTCTTTTTGCGGCTTTGATCGTCCGGCTCTGACAGTGAGCAACTTCTTTAAACACTCTCTGTCGTGTTTCGGTGTTGGGTCGGGGACGTTCCATGTTTTGTCTCGTTCGGCCCGAACGAGCTTTGTATATCTGCAGTTTCTTGCGAACCAGAAGAAGCATGTTCCCGCACGCATGCACATGAACACGCACACATATTTGCTAACCCTTGAAAAGGAACGCCTAGGTTTGGAAGGAGATTCTTGAAGCTCAAGGAGGCTTGGAGAAACGTTACTCAAGGCTGTTGACATGAGTTTAGAAAGGGAAACTCGGGGGCATCTACATGTAGTCCAAAAGACAGGTCTGTTCGGACCGGATAAAAACATGATCTGTAATATTATCATTTTCTAGGTACCATACGATAATCTATTGAATTCCTCAGCACCTCCACACCTTATAAGTATGGGCAGTAGATAACTCGACATACTCTTCCTATTTTCGGTTGTGAATACCAGCCCCGGACAGGAGAATGTGGGGGGGGATAACGTGGGGGTCTAACTGACCGAAGCGAAGCTAGGAGAGCTTCCTCTCAAGCTCTACATTTTTCACATGGGAAAAACCCCGGCAATCATGTCAGCTGAACACGAGTTTGAATTGGACGCCATCCGCGATGAACGATGAACATTGCACTGGCAGCGAGCTCTTTTGCACTTTAAAGAGGAGGTGAAAGTTCGGTTGACAGGGAACTCATCCAAGATATCGAGATGAAAGGCAGATCCGGATTATTACTTGCGTGATAGATTTTAGTACGTTTCCCGTCGGCTTACAGCAACTCAGCATTTGAAAAGCATTTTACTCTGACGTAGTAAGATAATTCAGTAGCTCCAAATCAGTGCCCTGCGACGTTTCTGACAATACTCTATGAAACCAAAACAAGGCCGTATTCTGGTAAACGCGGCAAAGCCGTGCTTGCAGTATTATTGCTTAGGCGAATACTTGCAGTACCTGGCCTTTGTGGTCCCTGCAGACCATGGTGGACACACAGTAATCCCCAATGCAATCATCGATGCCGCTAGTAAAGTCCAAATGGAGATTTATTATCTCATGTACATTTGGATGTTTGGGTGAGGCTGGAGAATATCACAAAAGCCCCTCTATTGTGTAACTACTGATATCCCAAGAGCTCGAAGACGCCAATTAATTAGGATGACGTGTGGAGAACTTGTATGAATCACGAAGCTACTACTGGTTCGGTGCTGCAGGCCTACATATCATCTCGTCTGGATATCATCTGCTTGTTTATAGATAAAGGAAGGTGCCGAAATCGAATCTAGTGGTGGTCATCCAGAACCTCTAGATGCAATGCCGTGGTCACCCGCAGTCGTCCCGCATATTGGTATAAATAAATAAAATTAATAAAAAAAGTACGGGAAAAAAACAAAAATAACTAAGAAGTAAGACGCCTCAGAAGTTCAGACGAAAGGAAATATTTCCATAGGCTCCGCTTTCCGACCCTGTATATAACATATTACAGGGCATATGGAATTCCTTGCCGGATATTCAACAGGCTTTCGTGCACTCGGAGTCGATTATAGATTGATCATGTGCCTGGGAATAAGAGCTTGAGAACACACTCCATCTTCGCCGTGTCCACCCCCCACCACATACCTCCGTACTGACGTATCTGGGCTGTGGGTATATGTAACTATCCGGGTTAATGAATCCATTTAGAACGTACTCGTGTGTTCCTGAGGTGAGGTACCAGACAAACTGTCTCATGATAATGCCAAGCGTCCAGAGAAAGCGATGAGCTCACAACGTTCCCTTTGATATATCCTTTGCATCAAGATTGTTTTCCTTTCTATTCGAGGACCATTTTCTCGGGACTACCGTTGATGGTGTCAGCAGACAAATGAGGTCTCTGGACCTCTCGGCAGTTTTTTTTCAGCTCTCTCTCAATTCCCGGGCGGCCTATTCGTATATTCAGTTTGTAGAGTGAGGTACAAGGCTTCCATCCTCAGGAACGCTTGCGCATTGCAGTTGCAATACCTATGTAGTGATTTGCCTTCTGACTACCTACGTATAGACGCCATAAATCCTTCATTCAACGAAAGCCACATTGTGCGCCTTGCATTGACTGACCGGTTGATAAACTGACACTGGACTGCCTGGTACTAATTATTAGTGGTGTGCGAGTCCTGTTCATGGTCCTGTTCTCCTGTCCGTCTCCCGTGCTGCGTGGTCTGGTCATTCGTTATAACCTGTCTTGCGACCTCCATCATCATCCATCTAGCAGAGAAAAGGTCTCTGTATCTAGTCCCCTACGTTTCCAAGTCTGTTTATTTTGGATTTTCCATTCTATCGGCAATCGTCTATCAATCCGCCCCCAACCTGGTATTCGTTTTACATTGGTGTATCTTATTTTTTTGACTTTTGTACTTCCATCGCTTATCCTGTTTCTGTGTGTGGTGCGTATTCTTGTTTCCTGATCTTGTGTTTCCGAAACATCTGCTGGGTGGTGAGCTAACAAGAATAACTGAGCAGTTAGTTGTTTGTTGTTTGTTGTTGTTCAGTTGTGTGAAAGAAGTTAAAGAGGCAAAGGCAAAATAAGGCGGCAGAGAAGAAAGAAAAGAAAAAGGCTGTTGTGACTCGAGCCCTGCCGCTTTCTGTCCCTGATTGGTTGGTGTATATTCGGCGGTCCTTGCTAGCGCGGCTGTGAATCCTTTCCTGCTCTCACCCCTCATCGGAATCCCTTCCCCTCAACCTTACGGAGTCCGAAAGTTGGGTGTGGACAGAGTCCCTGACCCCGCCAACCAGCTTCTCGTTGGGCCCTGATTCCTTAGTTACAGTCTTACCATTGGCCGACTTCGCCAGTGCCTCTGCAAGTTGACTGGCACGCTGGCTGACTGGTACGTAGATTATTGATCCATTGATTGATTGATCGATCTGTTCCTGAGACGATAGACACATCGCTTGCCAGAGATTTCATTTTTATTTTATTTTATTTGTTCTTTACATTCGTCTCTTCGTCTTTCTTGAAGTCTTCGTTGTCGTTGCTTCTGCTTGCTGCTACTTCCAGTGCCAGTGCCAGTGCCACTAGTACTGCCACTACTGTAAACGCTACTGCTGCCATTGTCGGTCTTCCAATTCTCCCAGTTTTCCCGTTCACCATCCCATCTCCGTTACCACTGTCTTTCCGTCTGTCTGTCCGTCGTCCAGAAGAAGAAGAAGGAGACCCGAGGAGACAGCCACCGCAACTACTGCTACCACATACCTGTCAACACAACATCAATAGCTACGCAGCACTACCACAGCGGATCGAGAGAGCAGCAGAAGAGAGAAAGAAAAAAAACTCAGAGAAATAAAGGGGGAAATAAAGTAGGGTTGCCGTTGCAAGAGGTCTTGACTCCTCGGGAAAGCGAAAATTCTACCCCCTCCCCCATTCCCCCACACAGTAGAGTCGACTGTGACGTTAAAAGTCAACGAAAGTTCCTCTACCTCTCCCTCCTCCATCTTGCGCACCGACACCACACAGTCAGTTAACCTCTCAAATCGCAATGACTGCCACCACTCCCTTCCCCTCACACGAGCAGCCACCACTCCAGCAAAAGGATTTGATCCATCCTCCTCCTCCTGCTCTTCCTCCCATGAACCTCCCGACAAGTCAACCCCAAGCCGTGAGCACACCCCCGGAGCAGCCCAATATGTACACCAGCAACAGTAGAGAAGGCAACAGAGACGGCAACGCCTCTGCTAATCCCAATTCGCAGCAGCATTTCCGTCCTGGCAGCGGGAGGAGAAGCATGTCTGTTTCTCAACCACTTTCCGGCCAGCTCCCAACTCCCTCCAATGGAAACTCTGCTGCTCCTGCAGGTCCGACGCCCGTTCCGCTCCAGCAACAGCAGCAGCAGCCGCACGGGCAGCCGCCTGGCATCCCAATAGGACCTAACATGCCACCGTTTGATGCTTCCAGGAGTCCCCCGAGCAACAAGAGTAAGTCTTGCAATTATCTATTGGTGGAATGCTTGCTGATTGCGGAGCCGCAGATCTGAACCACGTGCCGTGCAAGTTCTTTAGACAAGGCGCCTGCCAGGCCGGAAAGGCATGTCCTTTCTCCCATAATCTTGATCCATCTACAGATCAGGCTCCTTGCAAGTACTTCTCAAAGGTAAGCGGCGCACAACTATGGAAAGGTTCTTTTGCCCTGAAAGAAGTTTGTGCTAATCAAGTTACCCGCACGAAACAGGGAAACTGCAAGTTCGGCATCAAGTGTGCTCTTGCTCACATTCTTCCTGATGGGCGCAAAATCAACAGGCCTAGTTTCAATAACGGCGGTGGTCATGGCCAGATCCAGTTTAGTCGTATGGACACCAGCCACACTAATCACAGATCGGCTCTCCATAACTCGCTGCTCCAGGCAAATATGATTCCGCACCACACTCCCAACCACAGCTTTAACGGGGGGGACGACTTCAATGGGATCTCTAGCAATCAGTCTAACAACGGTGATAATATGTCAAGCTCGCTTCCAGGTGACTCTCCGCTTGACAACATTTCCACTTCTCAGAGGACATTGGGGCCTTTGGATGCAACTCTCCCAGCTTCATTTGAGAGACATGATTTCTCGTTGTTTGCGAGGACTGGGCCGTATGCTTCCTCGGTGCCCAGTAAGTTCGGAATGGAGTCTCCACCACCTTCTTTGTCTAATGGGCGCAATGGTGTCTTGGCTTCTCTCTACATCTCGGCTTTCGGGGACGAGGAAAGTAGCATTGGTGGAGGATTGTCTCGTTCCCCTAGGGTAAATGGCGAGGATTCTTTGGGTCAAAGAATCATGCACTCGTCTATGTCTTCAAGGCGCCAGAAGCTTCTCCCAGCTAGTTACGCTAGGGCAGAGAATATGGAAAGGATGCTTGGCGAGAGGTTTCGCAAGGATAACGGCTCAGATGCAGACTTCGCATTCGAGGAAGACTTCGTTCCAAGCAGCCTTAATGAGCTTCTCACACCAGCTGAGCGGAGCAGAAGACTTTCCAGGACAGACGAGGAGGGAGTTTCTAGCTTCCGCCACAGCTTAACCGCGCCTGGAACACCTGCGGACCCCGGCGTTATCGGATCACCCCCTGTTGGCTCACCAAGCGGTGGCGGCGGCTGGGGACCGATCGTTATGAGAACAAAACGTGATGACCATGAGGCCCCAACTCCCAGCATTGGTCATGTTGGTTCTCCGCTTAGGAATTCCTACCATCACGGAGATTCTAGCCCGACTTTCCGCTCCCTCGCCCTTGGACGCGAAACTTCCCCTTACCCTGGATCACCCACCCGGGGAAGCTTCGGCGGTGTCTCTACGCTCACTCAGACTATGCAACGTGCTAGGCTCTCGTCTACCAGGAGTGACCCGTATGATCTACCTACTGTCTCGAAGTCCCTAGGTCCTACCGGAAAGCAGATGGAGAGGGCCATGTCCTCTTCACACTCAAGCAACAAGGGCGTTGCGTCAATTGATGAGGAACCCGAGACCCAATTCTTGATGGAGGACGAGGATGAAACTTCAAGCAGCCGTCCGATCATGATTGGCGGTACTGGGCGTAGCTCAGGGTTGGGGCTCGAGGTTAGCCAACAGCAATGGGAAGGATTCGGATCCCGCCGTTAAACCCCCGGATCCCACATGACCTTTATGATTCATTTTTCCGTCATAACTTATACAGATTTCATATTAGGCCATGTGCTTTGGCTTGGTGCGATTTCTTTCTTTCTTTTTCTTACGGTATATGGAGCGGAATCAAAAAAATCTTTCCAGGGGGCAAGGGGAAAATGGGGGAATCTAAAATTATCGGTTGGCGGAGTTATTTGATTGTTTTGTATGAGTTTCAAATTCTTTTTCTGCCTGTTAATTTCCTCTTTTTTTCTATTTAAAATTACCTATGCATGATCCATCTTATGATACTCGAGGTTGTATTTTCTCTCTCCTTCTCTCAGGTAGTTGTTTCCGCACTTTTTATCCTTCATCACGTCTATCAGAAGCATTTATAAGCATGATCTTTTTCAGTTTTGCATTTTTTTGTGTGCCATTCCTGGTTTCATCAATGAAGAAACGGTTAGAAATTTGTCTTTTATGATAGTAACGATAATTATTCCCTTTCTTTTATTTTTCCTCTATGGAAGTCTTTTTGATATTTTTTCGAGCCTGGGAGACACGTTTGGGTATATCATGATAAGTGGACTTTACAGCTTGGGATGTGTACATGAAATATATCTTCCTCTTTTTTCTCTTTTCTCTTCTACGTACCTGTTATAGATTGCATTTTTTTTCTATCTTTCTACTCTTCCTTCCGGGTTCTGGTGTGTATGCAGTACGCATGAAAAGAAAAGGAAAGAAAACTCCTGCGAAGACATACACCCACCTCGTTCTTCCCATGCCTGCATGTACCTCTTATTCATCTTCTCTGCGCATATATACCATGTTCTTTATATGTCTCTACAATTTAGCTAGCTTTGTAGTTGCACGTCTCAATACCAATCTCGGTTTTTTAACGTAACGTTGCGCAAACTGCAAGTGGTCCCACCCATGCTTGCGGCAACCAAATACCACATGCAATGGGAACCTGCACGTCACCGGCGAGGAAATGTGGGGAAGGTTGGAGATACCGGGAGAATCGTGTACTCCTGGCAAGGCGAATCGTAACCCCTGATAAGGTGGTGTAACGAAGACGGGATCTGGCCTATTGGGTTCCTTTTCCGAACCTGGGGGACGTTGAAAAGATGCGACATATTGGGTGGGTGAGAAGTGTAATGCCTGAATTGAAATCAGTATTCGCAAATGCAAGTTAGGTCGGCATGCTGGATCAGTACTCATAATTTTATAGCGTTTCTGAACACGACCAATATTGCATGATATACAAAAAGGTGGATTTAGCGCTTTTTTGTATGGTATGCAGTAGCAGTCGTGTTCAGAAACGTCATGAATTTACGAGTATTATTGCTTCTGAGTAGGTTAGAAATATATCTCTACAATGAGGGCCATAATCCACCATATTGAATTAAAATTCAGGTCCAATCTTGATCTTTGCCAATGCACCACTCAGAAATCGCCCAATTTCCCTCTCACCCAATTTCTCAAGTCGGCGGCAACCGGCATGAGATTCGCCGTCATAAGCGATCACTCGGAAATTAACCGAGTGATTCATGGTGAACCAATGCGGTTGTGGTTAGAGCTCCCCAACTTGCCTGAAAGTGGAAGCAACCGGACAGTAAAACTCTCCGTCTTAAAAGCGTCTGTTGGATAAGCTTGATGTAGCGGTGAGCTACCCCGGCGATAAAAGGAATCTAATATCGAGGGACTCTACCTGCAGCCACCAGGAGCCGAGGAGAGGTAGTGACTATGATTCATCCACAGCTACAAGCTGGAGCTTGGCGCTCTTAGGTTCTGACTGTGTTAGCCAGTTATTAGAGTATAAAGCTAATGTTGTATCTGTAGACTAGGGAGCTTGATGCGGACTTACTTGAGTTGTGAATCAGGGAGGTTGGATGGAGTACCTCGATAGGATAGAACGCGCCGAGGGGTAATGAAGAATGGTGAGTCTTGTTTTGCACATCACACGGCCATGAATCCTCGCATGTAACTGATTTCATTTCGCTAGCAGCGTGGATAGGGGTGCTGAATCGTCATGTCCTACTGGTAGGCCCGTTTCACCCCTCCGAAGGGCTCTCGTGGGTGGGTGTTCTCGGTATCTACCTCGTGGGAGGTGTGCTGCTGTCCGTTTGACGGAGGTGCGTACATGTCTACCCCCAATATATGTTATTCTCGGTTCTTTTGACGTGGTTGAGGGTCGTGCTTCTGGCCTCTTCCAAAGCTTTCGTTGCGGGGCCGGGTTTTTGTGGCGATTCTTTGGGAGGGCTTGTTGATCCGCTGTGGTGGAGGAGGAAGGATGGCGAGCGTATGCGTATGTGGGAGGATGAATGGTTAGCGATATATACACCTTCGGGGCTGGATAGCTTTCTGTCAAGAAATCCGCAAGACCCAGAATGTATAGTGGTGCCGGTAGTAAAGATGATGACAATGATAGAGCGATAGGAACAATGTGGTCTTACATGAGCCATCTAGGACAAGAATTCGATAACACATCGAATATCATTTGCTAGTTTTAAAACAAATCATAGCAAAGAACACTGTCCGCGCCTAAGGTTTCCAAACTAACCCCGCAGAAATGCCATAAGGCTACTCTTTTTTTCTCTTTTCATTCTAGAATTGGGCGCTACATACATGAGGGCTTCAATCTTGAATAAAATCAGGATTAATAAAAATAAAATTCTCTTATATTCCTAAACTACAGTAAAGAAGGCTCGCTACCGCGAGCCCGCAAAAGTATCCATCGTTGGAGTAGGGCCGTAAGTATTGGTTCGTAGAAACGTATTAAGGTCCCTTTCTTTCCCTCTCTTCATTTGATAATTGACGAAGGCATATGGTCGAGGTCTCAAGTCTTATAAAGTTCGTATTAATAAGAAAAGATTCGCCCCCGAATTAATGTGCTAAACATATCTTTCCTACCACCGTTGCCTCCTACCACCGTTGCCTCCTACCACCGTTACCTCTTACCACCGTCACCACCCGCGGCACCGTCAACGAAGAGTCTCGTAGAGTAAAGTTGACAAATACGAGTGGATCACCCAAAGCTGGTCAACGCTCGCAGGGGTATTTATTCTTCGAATTTTATATCAATGCCAGTATAGCTACGTATACATATTAAAATAAACGACACAGCACAACTAATTTGTTGTTGGTTCAGAGCACCGTAAAGTACGAGGAGTTCGTCGGGTAGGAGTATGTTCACCTAACTTAAAACCAACGAACGCCTAGTCAACGAAGCTCGATTTGATGCTCTCGAGCCCACCCTACGCGTAAGAGGAGGTTTAAGAAACCTTAAATTCTTTTTATAGTTTCGCCATCGCTAGTATATGCGCCTAACTGCCACGGAACTATAAAATCGCTAAAACGGTGCCCCCCACACGGAAGCGCAAACTCAAAACGAGCAATGCGTACGCAAAAAGAGAAGAGTTGCCAAGTAGAAGTATATTCGCCCAGAGCTATGAGTTAAAGTACAAGCCTTTTCTCCCGTACAACCTTTCATTTCTCAAACTCCCCCTTAGCCTTTTCCATTCCCATGATAATTCCTAAAGCCCTTGCTGACTACTTTATTCAGACAGTTCCCCCAAACTTCAAGGCATACTCCTGATTGACCCATTGCTCAATAGCTTCATTACCAAGAGCAAGAAGATCTGCATTCTTCTTTGCTTTTCTTCTAAGCATGGACTTATGCCAGGAGACACGAGTTTTCTCCACATTGTTCTTGCGGTGGTTGGCAGAAATCTCCTTAGCTGACTCAGAAGTAATGTCTATTTAAAAACATGTTAGAAATATACAACACCATGGATTTCAAAGACTTACTATGAGTAGCCATTTCAGCTGCATGAGCATCAAAGTGGGCATCCTCTAAAATAAGCGCAAGAGCTTCCCTTTCCTTTTTTTTCTCTGCTGCCAAGAGTTTCTGTTTCTGATAATAATCCAACTTTTTAGTAGCGGTGGTTGTGTTTTGTTCAACAGCAATATTGTTTGGGTTGGTATTTTCATCTTTGTTCATTAGGGCTAATTCACGAGCTTCAAGTTCTCTGCGCTTAATTGCTTTATTCTTATTGAGGCGGAGGTGGTTGATGTAATTTTTCCTGCAAATGTGAATATCGTTGTGGATGAATTTTCTTTCGCATCCAATTACAGCGCAAGTAATTACGGTCGGCGGAGCAAGTTCGACAATTGGAATGTTTTTAAACCATTTGATATGGTCGAGGGTAATGGTTTTTTTATCGTTATTGGAAGCTGAATTGTTATTGGTAATAACTGTATCGAAGCGGTCATTAGCGATTGTCAAAATTTTGCTTTTAGGTTTAATAATATTATTACCAATATTATAATCAGTGATGAAGGTGTTAATAAAGTTGGTGTTTGGTTGGAATGCCATCTTTAAAGTGATTGTGAAAAAAAATAGTGATGGAGGAGTTAAAAGTTGATGAAATTTCGAAGATTTCTGAGGAAAATAGGGATTTAAGGGGATGGTAGATGATGGAGAAGAGAAGGTGTTATGTTGGGAGATAAGCTCCTTTTATAGTGTCAGTCTGGTGTGTTTTGCTACCCTGTAATTAAGGATACACACCCATCATGTATGCATTCAGAATATGTATATTATAATCTCAACATATCATTACAACAGAAGAAACTACCGAGAAACTATCTGCCTTGAAATTTATGTCCTTATTTGCATATTAAAAACCTATTCATTTTTGTTTTGTATATGGTTGAACTTTTAGAAACTCTCACTTCCACTATTACCTCCCCTCCATTAATATTATGCTCTCGCCCCCAAAACCGGAAACCCCTTGCTTATGCAGTTATAGGTGACGTATTATTACATTACACTACGATCAAAAATAACACCAGAAAGTTTATTTTCTTCCTATATGAGCATAGAGATATTAAAATAGTTTTGGTGCCTGTCTACTGCCAGCAGCTACAATAATACTCATAGGAATGACTCACTCGTTGCGACAGTTGGTCTCATTTATCATTTCTACTCGCTTATTCCTTTTCCCCGATAGATCAGACGCGGTCTCGCTCCCAAGACTTCATTGTTGGTTATTTATTTTGGCCCCGTGGTTTGTTGGGCCTGGATTCCGCGTAACGCGCCGACCTTTTTGAATGGAAGCCGCGTCACAGTTTGGGTGTACACACCCTCTAGGCAACACAATTATTTACCTTCGTCGACCTCGTAGATACACGAGCCTAATACCGCCTACGAGGTAGCAACTTCTTGTTCCCTTTATTTCTTCGTTATAAGTACATGTAACTAGAGATTAGACGTCGAGTCGCGAGCCAGCGGGTCCTGATTTGAATTAAGTAACTGTATACTACGGCTCCATTCGTAGTACCTGTTCTCGCCGGCCCGTTGCTCTCATCTACTCACCTCATCCTCTTCTGTCCACTCTTTTCTCCCTCACCCCTCTCCTCTTCGAGGAGGAGGTCTTTTCGAAGAGGTACTTGATATATAGCCTTGCTCTACGAAGTCGGTAAACACACAGTTAGCCAAGCATAAGCTGTTGGCAGCATACGAGTACAGAGAGAATGGAGAGCGACGAGTACAGGTCCTGGACTTGATTGTACGGCAGCGTAGGCGCGATCTGCTGTGTACTCTGTGCTGGTCACACTTCCTTGTTTTCTTTCTCAGTTAAACGTATCATAGATCTGGTCCTGTGTATGAGACTGTTCGCGAACTACATGAACTCTTAGCTCTGAGGTACTCCTGATCGCGATACGATTAATGAATTAAATAAAAAAAATAAAAAAATAAAAAAAAAATACGCCCGATCGCGCGCCAGGAATGGTCGAGTGATAATCTGTGCATAGATTTTAAGATAGGTCTATCAGCGAACTAGCTGCGAATTATGATATTACTTCTATAATTGATTAATGAAGTTGATCACTTCATTCGATCTTGGTTTCATAAACGTGTTGTATCGTAAATACTTAGTGGCCAACAATGTGCCACATCGGCCTCGAAGTCCTCGTGCCCAACAACACGCGTACGTATGTACGGGCTTTAGCGGCTTTGGAGACAACTTTTTCTTAACGAAAATCTTTTTCTTCCACAAACACCTCAATCGCTTGCTTGCCCATCATCTCCTCCTTCCCATTACTTCTACTCCTCGATCGCTTCACTGTATCATTTGCTTGTCTTCGAGTATCGCTTTCCTTCCCTATTCCCCGTGGTGGAATCTCCTTACATCAATCCCATATGCCAGAAATCTTATTATATAGGTTGCATATTCTCCGTAATTCCAGGTAACCCCCACTTCCCTTTTTGATCTGCACCCCGATTTCCTCCCTGCCCCTCACCCTCCCTAGCTTCTACGAATACGCATGTGAAATGTCAGTACTAATGCACTCGCTTCATTGTTAATGCATTTATTATTATCTCAATTGACCAAGGGGGCGCAGCGCAAGGACGAGATTTGTCGAGATCTGTTTGGTCTAGACTCCAGAAACGACCAGTATTACTGCCTGAGATCGGAAGCGTCGAGCAGATCTCATGCCTGCAGCTATGGCTCGAGACTTGATAGTGGGTGGGTCTCCTGTGGCGAAACAATTAAATCTCTTCTAGAGGCGGAACTTTTGTGTATTCTGGCCAATGAGAATTCTATAGGCCACAGGATACACTTACCCTCAATCGCATCTCGACCCATAGAGAGACGGTGCATGCGATACTCGCTGCGGGAATCGTCTACATGAATATTTCCTGACCTCGATAATAAATAGACGAGGTGTGACAGCCCGGATGTAACAGACTCTTCGGTAGCCAGTAGCTTTGTCTCTGTTCGTGTGGCCGCACACAATTAACGAGTTATCAATCAATCAATCAATCAATCAATCAATCTGCTCGTGTGGCCTGGTAGATCGAGTGAGAACCTGTGTACCAACTGCAAAATAGTCATATCTAGGTTTGTACTTTTGTTTTTACCTCTTATGATTCGTGCTGAAGTATGGAAGATAATATATTGGTCGAGGATGGTGTAACCCACCCGTTCATCTGTTGATCGTGTTCAATGGCAGCTGCAACGATCTACGATTCCCGACTGCATCTCAACTTTGTTCGTCAAATCAATCAATCACAACGCAGTACAGAAGAAAATCCCCCCCAATTATAAAATCTTCACACCAGCCCCTGATCGAGGCGGCCAGACTTCCGATAAGACGACTATCTTCACTTGCGATAAGAACCGAGTGATATCTCGTGATTTTTACACTCCAAACACCACTACCCTCGAGATAAGATAAGAGCTCTTTAATCTCTCTCTCTATGCAGGTGCACGTTTAAGGGTGTAGTGGGGGTAGTTAGGTAGATCAAGCTTTTGAACTTTACACAACGTTCGTTATCTAGCAGGACGCCGGCGCGCACTGGTTGTGTTACCCCCAAAGCAACGAGCGTCCCAGCAAGTTTCCCGGCGAGACGTGCATAGGGGCTCTTACACTTACGGTGTCATAAATAGGTTTCCTCTTCACTGCGAATCGTGCGCAGATTGCCACTTATGAACTGTTTTATCTGAAACTGTGAGTTTTCCTCTGCCACGCAGGACGCCGCCATCGACGCCATGCTTCTACTCTACCTCAAGACATCATCCAAATATGGTATATCCACCACCCTTACCACCGCTCGCCGCCTCCGCCGCCGCAAAGATCCGCTATAAAAAAACATTCAACAACCCCGGCAGCACGTTTCTCCGATCCCTGTCACGCTCGCCTACCGGGTAACAGCGGGCTAAATTTAGTTGCATCAACAGGCAGGTTGCAAACGGGCAGACAAACGCGACGAGAATACCGCGGGACTGCAGACCAGATTAGGCAGATGGATAGAATGGTTATGTAGAGTAGACCGCGCTACGGTTGTAATTGCAATGCATTCGAATGTGATGGTGGTGATGGCGATGTGAGGTGTGAGGTGGAAGCCAAACCACTCTCGAGATTGAACGCAGATAATAGCGTGTTGTAGGTGGTGCGTGCGTGGAGATAGCGGTGGGCAGAAGCAAGAAGTCGTTGACAGAGAGACAGACAGGCAGCTGAAGCAAGCAAGCAAGCGAAGCGAGACCCTACATGAGCACACCTGTCTACATCTACATCTTACACACTTGGGACAATCGCGATCCCCGGCGTTCAGTCATTCATTGCAAGGCCAAATTCAAGTTACTTTCTTGCTTACTATGAGCGACCGCCGTTCACCGCCCGCAGAAGATCAGAGGACCTACAATCAATACCTAGACCCCAGGGACATGCGTGCACTCCGACTGGCCCTCCATCAGGTACTCTAGCCCATCAACCAACATTCCTTCACACCCGGTCATCGATAGCCCAGTGAGTGCATCCTCTACTCAACACTTGTCCATCCCCATATGCATCGATATCGCGCGCTCAAAACCGGCGTTGTGTCGGTTGCATTCGGGGGGCTTTGGAATTTTTTTTTTTTTTCATATGTGCTGTGCAGATGATAACTGCAGCCCCAACCACGCAACCCGATTACTTTTCCCGGGGGTTGAGTTGCACGGCAGATCAGATCACCGAGATGGCGCTGGCGTGGGGAGGGGGGAGCGAGCTTTACTCTATCCAACTTTACCGATGCTCTATTATTGAACCGATGAGGATGGGAGATTAGGACAGCGCGCGGGATTGAGGTGCTGTTTTTTGCCTGCTGGCGTGTTTGATTGTGGTGCGGATTGCTCCTGTGTCATTTGCGGCAGGCAGGCAGGCAGGCAGGCAAGCAGGTGAGTGAGAGCGAGTGAGTAAGTGAGTGAGCGTGAAGGTTTGTAGGTACGCGGACGAAGATAGTTCTAAGGGTGAGAGAGAGTGAGTGAGTGGTGAGCATTGTGGTGTGGGATAGTAGTGAGGTGAGGTGGAGGTTGTTGCCAGCTCCCCTCCCACTCATCCTCCTCCTCGGCCTCCCTTACATGTAACGTAACAGTTCACGCTGCCCTATCGTCGTCGTTCTCTGCTGGCTGGCTACTTTCAAGTTGATACCCCCTCTCCCCTCTCCCCTCTCCGCTCCAAACTACACCCGCACCAGTCCGCATGTAGCCTTCTAGCCCCCAACAATGGATGAGTTGTGATATCTGTCTGCACCCTGATGCAATCGTCACTTTCCTCACCACGAATCACAAAGCCTAGGATGACTCAAAAAAATAATATTCTTCCCCCCATACCCCCCGGTCCATCTGATTGCTCTTCGCACAATTGGCACAAAACAGAGAAAAAAGGGTAGCAAAAAATGGGCTGCACAGGCTGAACACGCCCGTTGGTCACTGGTGGTTTGTTGCATCATTGCATCAATTCTAGTCTCCTCCTCCTCCTCCTCCGCTTCGGGTCCGGGGGAGGAGTAGGCAGTTAGAGCGTTACGTGGAAGAGAGAGAAAAAAAAGTAAACCGCCTGACGTCCTCCGTCATATGGCTTGTGTTTCGCTTTCTTCTTTCGGCCTTATGTGGGAAATTAGAGTTGGGAGGGGAGTCAGTCAATTTGTCGGGCGAGAATGGGATTTTTTTTTCCTGTCTTTGTGGTGTTGACTTGTTGTGCCTCACACGCACGCCCAAAACCCTCACCTCACCTCACCTCACACACCACACTTACATACATATGCGTGAAATTAATTATTTGATGAGCACATAAATATAATAACTAGACATGCCTCCTCCTCCTTCAACCTCCTCCTCCGTTTTATATAATTATAATTAAATTTTTTTTTTCTTTTCTTTCGTCCACCGCCGCCACCACCACCCTAGTGATTGATCCTCCTCCTCCTTCAATCCTACCTTCTCCGCACCTTTCTGCTGGCATATATAAAGAAGAGAGAGATTCCCCATTGTGCTGTCTAGCTGCGTTGTTGCGATTGCGATTGGGCTTGTTGTTCTCAATTCTATTCTATTTTCAATAACGACGACGATCTTCCACGACTACGTCAACATTGATCACTCCACAACGCTTGCGGGTTATAAGGCTTGATCTCTCCACTATTTGAGGATCTCCCCACTTCTGCAGCTACTGCTACAATCTGCAACTACTACTATAACTACTACTACAACTACTACAACTACTACAACTACTACAACTACTACAACTACTACAACTACTACAACTACTACAACTACTACAACTACTACAACCAAAGACCTCGCGACTAAAAAACCTCAATACCTAACCATTTCAACACCATAACCACAACCCCAAAACCACCGCCAAAATGTCCAGCACCGCCAACACCTTCCACCACCCCCAACCCTGGCGCACCTTCAGCACACCACTCACAATCCCGCGCCCCGCAAACTACAACTACAACTACAACCCCTACCACCCCAGTCTCTACGACCTCCACAGCCACCACTACCACCACCACCGCTCCAACACGCCCCCCTCCCTCTCCCCCTCCCCCGCACCCTCAACATCCACCACCGCCTCCGCCGCCTCAACCCGCGTCTCAATCGAGATCGAGGAGCTCCCCAGCGACACCACCGACGCCGACGCCGACTCCGCCGTCGGCATCGAGCTGCTCACCGGCGAGTTCGAGGAGGCGCCCGAGAACTACCGCCGCGCCGGCGGCACGCTGGTCTACGATTCGGACGCCGAGGACGACGACGAGGGGGCCTTGGCCGCGTCGCATAAGAGCATTCTGTACGGGTTTGAGCGCCTGACGGCCCGCGGCGGGAAGAGGAGCTATGCGGAGAGTGTGGGGTCGCTCAGTAGTGGCAGCGGCGGGGGCAGCTGCTGGGGCGATAGTGGCGTGGAGTCGGAGGGGGAGAGTGGCGAGGAGGAGGAGGGGGGCAGGAGGAAGGTGAGGAAGGTGCATGGGGTGCCTGCGGCGGCGGCTGTGCCGGGGTGTGGGTATGGGTATGGGTGGGAGGATAATGAGATTGATATGGAGCTGTAGGGGGAGGTACTCGCGGGTGTGAATGGGTGAGAGTGGGGGGGAGTGTTTGCTTCGTGTGTATATTTTTTTTTATTTTTCTCTACTCGTTTAGTTTTTTGTAATTGGCTTTTCTTTTCTGTGGGTGTTTTTTTGTGGTCTGCATTTTAGCTCAAGGGATATAAAGCGCCTCGATTTGGCTTTGTCTTTTTTGGTTTTTCAAGCATTTTTGTATTCCTTTTTTCCTAGCATCATCATCATCATTCAGGGCTCATTGGGAAACGGACGGACGGACTACAAAAAAGGCTTGGGTTTGTTTGTTTTTTTCATTTAGGGTTCACTCAGCAGTACAGGGAAAAGGGCAGGGGGGAAAAGGGAAAAACGGTTTTTTTTTTATCATCGTCATTATTATCATTATTATTATGTAGAGGCATTTCTTGGGTTTTATTTTGTGGGAGAAAGAAAAAAAAAACAGTTTGGTTGTTTTTTTGGTGGTTGTATATAGCTTTTAAGGTTAAGGGTTGGTTGGAACTTAGTCGAGGTTAAAAAGGGAAGTGAATGCATATTTCCACACTCACTCATTACTATGGTTACTTTTTTTTCTTCTTTCATTTGCTTTTCAAAAATGGGGTTCCACTTGTTGCTTCTTTCGCGACCATGCAGCCTGGAAATCCCGAAATTACTTTTTCTGTTGGGGCAAAGGGAACCTGTGAGTGGGTGTGGAGCTGCGGGGTGAACGTGAGCATGAGCGGGGTTGATTTGACGTGCGTACCCATCCATTTACTTTTCTTCCATGTACCTCCTACATACTCTACTTCTTCTACCTGTGTAGGTTACTCTACCTAGCGGGCGGAACTCGTACTCCTCTATGTAGAGAGATATATGTAAGGCCAGGCCAAAATTGAAAAAAAAAAAAAAAAACCAGCCAATTCGTCGCCCCGAATTCACAAGACGACCGGAATCAATGCACGGCGACGGAGCGGAGTACATGCGGTAGAAAAAGCCTACCACCGTCATCACAACTCTCTCCCCCCGCTTTCTTTTCTTTTCTACGGCTTGGGGAGGGTTGGGGTTGGGGTTGGGGTTGGGGTTGGGGTTTGTGGGATGCCCGACCATGCATGACGTCCGCTCCGCCGCATCTCCGAGTCCGATGTCTGCGGCCGCAGGAAGCTTCACGAAAAAGGCCATCGATGCCGACGTTCTCCACAAAATCGAGATGAACTGCACGCTCGCCTGTCTGTTAGGGTGGTCAAGTGATCAGATGTGGATGTTGAGCGGCCGATGAGATTGACTGATCTGATCTGTTGAGATGGCCCCACGGCGGCGCGTCTCATCCCATCTTTTTTGTTTTAGTTTTTTTTTTATTTTTTTTTTTTTCTTGTGGAGGACTCGATCTGGGGTTGGTGCGATGTGATGTGTGGATTGATTGGGTGGATTGGATGTGCCGTTTGGTGTGAGATCAGGTGGATCGTGGTTTGATCGGGAGGTTGGTGCTGCGAGTGAGAGCCTGTGAGTGGTTGGTTGGGGTTGTGGCTGGGAGAGGAGTGCTGGGCGGTGGATGTTACTCTGCGATAAGGACCGTGCTCCTGTCCTGTGAGCGGCAGGTTGATCGAACCTGCGGTGTGGTATCCATCCTGATGTTTTGACCGTGTATTGTGTAAGCCCCGGAAGCTTAGGCCTGGATATCGAGTTCTGAAGCCCGGATTTCCCATGATGCCCGCTGCTAGATTGGTGAGAGAGGAAGTGAGAGGGGAGAAGGAGAGGGAGGAAGCTGGGGGGGTAGACATCTCAAGCTGAGTACATGTGCATAGTAGAGGAGATTTCTCAAACACGAATATGTCTTTGCCCAGGCCGGATATGTTTTCCCACGAACGCCGTGTCACGTAAACCACATCTCTCGTCACACCCAAGCCGGAAATGGCCGGGATCGTCGAATCTCACTCGGTCCGTTTGTTGAGCATATGGCCGGCGGGAACGAGTAGAACGCACCGGACAGCAGACCAGCGAGGATAGAGCATCGCCGACTTTGACCTTGGTGCAGACATAGGGTGAGGTACGTCCATACTAGATGCAGTAACAAGAGTTGAAGACGTCTGCGCCTTATACCTGCGCTGACCGCCCCCGCCGTCGCTGGCAAAGTCCAACACCTCCTAGGAACGCCGATGAGAGAGATCAGACCGTTTTGAAGCCGCGAGGGTCGCCCGCCGGCGTGCAATGGTTTGGTGACGGCGCTCGACACAGTGCAGTGTCAGAGACTCATATATATGCTCGTGGGCCACGCCTGTTATTTGAGGCTTCCCGGAGGCCATCCCCGAGCCTGGATTGGCGCTCATAGGGAGTGTGTGTGCCGCTTTGAGGGGGAAGATCTTCACTGCTTCTGTCAGTACCTCAGGGTGCTCCTCTTCTCCGCGGGACCGCGCGGTGCGGGCTTCGTACTTATGCGTGCGACCAGTCGCGGAACACCACGCGGGTTTACCGGTTCACGTTCTTCCCGCGGAGCTCGAGAGAGCGGGTGTGTCAACGACGGGAAATGCATCTTTTGTATGAGAGGCCTTATACCACGCGCGCGTTGTTAGGGAGATCCATCTGAGCACCTCCGTGAATCGGTTTTGGCGTTGGTATCGCCGCTGTCTAAGGTGTGTCGAGCTCTGTGAAGGTGATTTAGTAGGGTGCTGGCGGTGTGTTGTCGGCGCTGTGGTCCTATATTCGGTACTGCGGAGTCTTATTTTGTTTGAACGTAGGTGAGGTGGCGGGTGGTTAGCTCTCCGGCACTCCCGTGCACCCACGCCCCCGGACGTATATTGTTGGTGATGCGTGCCATATATTGGGTTTTCATGGGGTGTACTTGGTACTCGGGGTTGTATTGAGTGGATATATGCATTTGGGAAGGGGTGGGTTGTTGTAGTGCTGTGATAGCTGTAAGAACTCTATTGGTTTGTTGACCGATACTTTATATTCAAATACTATAGAAGAATTGTTCCCGAATTGTTTTATCTATTACGGCTTGCGAAATGTTAATCTGGGAACAGAGTTTTTCAAAACGCAAAATCTCTAAGGAATATAATGTGCAAACCCACATGTTACTTTGAAAACTAATTTTCAACTAATTTATTTTTAGATGGGTGTTTTTTGCTGCTGTGGAAGAGAGAGTTCTCAAAGTTGTAGTTGTAAAAATCAAGTTCTCCAAGAGTACCAGAAGTAGCCTTCTGATAATCTCAATTTATTGTATTATTCACTATTTTATTGGTCGCTATAATTATCACAAAACATTAGTTATCACAATGATTTCTTTGATGTAATAAACAAGAAAATAATTTCCACAAAAACTAATTTGTATTCTCAAGCAAATCTTATCATCCCTAGAGTGGCCAAGCATGTAGGCTTTCAAGTATCTAAGTTTTCAGGATGAAGAAATTAATTTTACATGGGACTATTACTGTAAACGAGATTGTAGACTATGGTTGCCAAAGAACACAACTGTAGCATAGGATATGGACATCGGCTATAGACTGTACGATAAACTGTGGACTATAATAGCTGACCTGTATCATGGGATATGGGTGTCCGTGCTTGTATAACTTAGTACAAGAATAGTATTGTAAACTAACAATACAGAAAGAACGAAGAAGATTGCGTAAAGAGAAAAGCGAGAAACAGAACAAGAACGAAAGACAGAACTCCTTTATATAACCCATAACGCCAGTCTGAACATGACTCAAATCTTCTTATAATGGAAACCAATAGAACCCAAAGGAAACCTACAATACTAATTTAACCTTTTTGCCAAATGCTTCCTCTTTACGCATTAATACAATATCCGATCTTGATGCCAAAACGTCGTTACAATTAATGAGATTGGACGAGTTCATAGGTTCGAATCATGCAGGGTCACAATTCAAGAAATATCAATTTTGTTTCCTTTCTCTCAAGGGGACGAGTAGCGAGTATTCCGCAGGGTACGAAGGGGGTAGTAGGGGTCGGTATGGGAGCCCGTAATAGGGGTCTCGAGAGATTCTAGCGTTGGTGCGAGTCAATGGGACAAAAGAAGCAGCAGCACGGTGGTCTTCTTGAGTAAAGAAGAGAAAATAATATTGTATAGTAGCAGACAGCGTAGGTACAGAAGACGTTGCGTAAAGAAAGAAAGGAAAAAAAAAGAACAAGAAATGAGAACTAACCCCCCTAATATACCCAATGAAATCCCAGCGATGACAAATCCAAAGTGACTCATACATTAACAACCAACAGAACCCGGTAGAACCCAAGAGAACCCTTCTGACTAATCCAACTCCTCGTAACCCAGTGTATTCACTAATCGATTCATGAAACTTTCTTACCTTAGTATTTGAGTTGGGTTTTGCTCTATTGAGAGAGTTTTCCCAGTATCTGGAATAGAGTTTTAATTCAAGTCGAGTGTTATGGGGAATCGTATAGTTTCGATAACTCGAGGTATGGGTATTGATATTATCAGTCAAACCCGCCTTGTCGGGCTGGAGATGGAAACAGGTATAAGATATTTGGGTACCCGAGTTAGTGCCACAACACTACCGGTTTGAGTACCTATTTCTAGTGATGTACTCAAGCAGAAGCGGCAGCAGAAACAGCGGCTAGAGAGATTACAGTTATCGATGGAGTTCTTATATTAACAGGGAGTAACGAATAAGCTGCGCAATAATTCTATCAAGAGCTGTAGTAATGTACTCCCATACCAGCATAACTACCCCTACACTATATTAATTATTCTTTATTTAAATAATTATAATTTTGGTGTCATCGGCAGTGGAGTTGTTTAGATAATGAATGATAATTTATTTAATATCTAATATATACTGTCGTTGGGTTTTCTGTACTTTTTTCTCAATGATTGATTTTGAGCTGGAAACTCTAAACTGCATAGCAACCACTGGCAGCCCACTATCAAGAGTCAAAACTATTAACCTATGCTGACAACTAAATCCTATGATTTATATTTAATTGGGGTATTGTAGTTGGGGGACAGAAGATCTCTATTGAAGTGAGTTAGCACCCTTGTTTATATGTATACGTATTAAAGGATCAGGATTCAAAAATCAATCTCCAAATTGGTATGTATCCATCAAAGAAATCTAAAAATTCTACCGATTTACTAAAATTAAACTTAATTCTTCTTTCTCTAGGAAATATCAGTCTCATAAACAAATATTTTCTTGCTTTTATCTCAATCCGACTAGATCACTAATTTGAAGTTGTTATTTACGACAATTCATAGACTAAATCAGTACCCTCGTTCCAATCTTTTTCTCTATCCACAGGCTCCACTGTTTAATAACTTGAATCAGAATACATTTCTGATTCACTATTGTCTCCTGCGATATTTACCGGTGCTTCTTCATCATCCGCGATGTATGTATTATTGTCCAATTGCTGGGTAAGCTCTGTGTTCCTAAAGTCATCTTCCTTATCATTATCTGTCTCGTACACTGAATTATTCTCGAGTTCATCATCTGAATAGGTTCTAATGCTTTCAATCCCCAAACGCGTTATTTTGACTATTTTCCCAGATTTTACAAGGAAGAATGTATCGTAGAAGGCAAAGAGTTTGGCCCCTTGTGATTAAACTCTCTTTTGCTATTATCATCAACAAAGCTCTAACTGGTATCATTCCTGACCTCTTCACACTCATCCGAAATATACCCATTATCGTTTTGAATTAGATTGAAGTAAGCTTCCAAGTCAGCATTTCATACATAATATTCAATTCGCTTTAGCTCAACTCTGGCCCCTCCAATTCCATTCAACATCTCCAGTTAATAGAAATATTTGAAGATTTGTGATGCTCATATCGACGCTTCCTTCTGACGATTTCCGTGGTTTCGAATTTCATATCTTGCAGAAGTGAAAATACATTCAATACCAACACTATTAGATGGTACTACGAGAAGTATATTTCTTGCCATCCTGCCAAGATTTAGGGATGCTATAGAATAAGTTTTCCACCAAGATAACAAATCTACCTCGGAAATCTCAGTTGAATCTTATGGTGACAAAATTGGTTTACTGTCGATATACTGAATTGGTTCCCTTAATCAAGAAGAATTGGTCGTTACATGCCTTTCTCTTACTCTACATCCTATAATTTCAACTCCGGGCCTGATGATTGGCAGTGGGATCTTGGAAGCAGATTCCGTCAGAGTATAATATTTCAAGTAGTGGTACAAGAATCCGCCTTGTACTATTGGGTATAGGATTCAGCGCTATCACTAGGGAAACCCTCGTATTAATCTCATTGCTAATGAAGGGAAAACTTATCAAACAGATAAAGGCACTTAGTGAGATTGAATAAGGTGCTTCTTTTATCCTCAGTTTTGGAGTAGTAAAAGATGCATAGGAAATTTTCGGGTTAGTGCAATCTAAAAATTCTCAATGCTTCTTCAAGGGCGACTTTTTTTGTGTATTTATATAGCAAAGAAAGATAGGCGTTCAAAACTGAAATTTACCAATAAAAGATTATTTAAGAAAAACTTACTTATCCAAAACATATTTTAGTACCCAATTCATACATTTAGAAATGGCAATTTAGTAGTACACAAACATGAACTTCATAATTCTCAATCACTTGAGCCGAGTAAGTCAAGAGCATAGAAGAAAAATACTTCCTCTCAAGGTAAACTAACTCTAGAGAAAACATGAAATTTCTCCGGAAATTGAACAAATGCTGCTATTCTCACAATATCACCCAATATAAATAGTATAAAATGTTAGAAATCTTGATCGCTTAGAACTGAAAAGTGAATTCTGCACTTGGCCAGTAGTTAAAGAAGCAAAAGTCTCAGTCAGGTACAAAAGAACGCAATCGCTTGCTCTAATTTTCTCAAAATTTCACAGGTTTCAGGGTCAATTGTGTATTTGCAGGGTAGGGAACAAAATCAGAATACGGCTTTTGATAATTTACTACTCCCAAAACTAACTCTTCCGGTCACCACCCCTCGAGACCCCCCAAAACCGATAAAATTTAATTCTCCGGATTCGACACTCCGTGAACCCTTTTTTTTTTAACGCCTACCAACCCGAAATCTGCGCACATGAACCGACGGCGTGATACACCAAATACTAATCCTAACTACTAGTAACTTACCTAACCTTAATCCCAACCCACCGCCCCAAACTGACACTCCTGGTTACCACCCCCAAAGCCGACAGTTTGGTTCTAGGAGTCGACATTTGGTAATCACCCTATGGACGCCTAGGGGGCTTGAACTCGACGCACCATCTCCCTCCCCCGCCCGATCTTTTGTCCGGCAGCATTACAGTCCCAATATATACCCTACCCACCACGTACTCCTCTTGGATTCAGTTAGTACGTGTAGCGAAACCCGGGAGATTGCTTCATGGATGCATACACGGCTGAGTTAAAACACAAGAAATGGAAAAAAAAAAAAGCGCTAGTCATAGTATATCACTCGGTTAGCTGTTACGTTTTGTTTTGTGATTCGTCTTGGGTTTTGTAGACCGCTCTATTCAATTACTGATCCGAAATTGGGCTTGGACGGGTCTTGAATCTTCGTGGACGCGTTGGGGTCGAATTATTTCTCTGGGTGTCTATGATGGGGCGAGTGATAGGTTATGATTACAAGTTCGCGAGACGGACATGGGCAACTAAAACACCAAGTGTTGAGATAGAACACACTAGAAATAAGACTAAATATAAAGTACCATAATCTAATTAACGCCTACATAAACAAAAGAAACCCCAAAGAAACGCCATACACTTTTACGCCGAAAAAACCCAAACGTACCCCAACTACACCCGTCACCCCTCGACCCTCTTCGCCCTCAACCTCGCCCCCTCCCCATCCTCGCCCACCTCTAACTTCACCCACACCCTCTCAGCAACCTCCTTCATCTCCTCCCACCCGCCATCCACCACCCGCCCCCTCGTCTCCGCATCCAACCCATACCACACCAGCGCCAACTGACTCGCTCCCCACGCCCTCATCCCCCTCCCCCGCGTCTCCACAACAACACAGATGAGAAACACAAGCGACGCAGTCCACAGCGTCACCGGGTACAACAGCCACATCCACCGCACCCGGATGAACGACTGAACGGTATAAGACTCGCCTGACGCCTTCTGCGCGCTGTGGTCCAGGTTGCGAAGGCGGTTTGTGAGCGCCGTGCTGACCCGACCCATGGTGCGCGCAATGTCGGGGTCTTGGGCGAAGCCGAGGAGGATATCGGAGGTGAAGAGTTGCACGGTGCCGTTGGCGCTGGTGCGCGCTGAGCCGGTGAGGGCGGCGGCGAGGCCGTGGGCGCCGGTCATGGAGGCGTGGGCGGGGACGGTGATGCGGAAGGTTTCATTGGCGGCTGCGCCGGTTATTGTGATATCGCCGGAGGCGTCGGGGGTGTTGTGGTTGGTGTTTTCGAGGGTGGTGAGGATGGTTTCGGTGTAGGTGCCGTTGGTGACGTTTGCTTGGATCTCTTTGACGCAGTAGTAGATTGCGCACTCGGTTGCTGTGTAGCGGGGTGGTAGAGACCTGCCGTTGTCGTATTCGGCTTGGAGGTGTGCGGTTCGTGCGAAGGGGGATTTTACATTGAAAGAAACAGAGGAATTGGAGATGGAGGACTGGTTTAGTACGGTATTGAGGTCTGTCGAGGAGGCGCTCGCGCCCCAGGAGAATGCTTGTAGGCCTTGGAATGATGCGGTGCAGTAGCTATTGTCGCTGTCGCAGAGTTGGATGATCTGGGAGGTTGCGTCGTTACATTCGCTGCATATTCCGAGAGTGGTGAAGGTGTTGAAGACGCAGCCCCCGCTGGGACAGTTGAAGAGAGGGAGCACTTCGGCGGCGGTCGAGGTGCTGTTAGATGTAGAAAGGAGGGAGGCGCTGTAGACTGAGGACAGGAGCGAGAAGGACATTGCGGGGTCTTCAGTAGACCCTTGGTATGTATTGAACTCGAGGGCGCGGTTGAGATTAGACATGATTGTAAGATCGACGAATCTGCGTCTAGGGTAAGAGAGGAGCTGCTGCTGTGCAGTTCCGATTCCAAGAGAGCCGATGAGTAGGAAGGATCCTAGACATCCTAGAGTTCTTCAAGTGAGTTAGTATTAATAAGATCTGACGCTTTGGTGGATTATACACACCTCCCTCTCTGTCTCCACAACAATCTCAACGCCCCCCATGCACCTCTCGATGCCTCATTATACAAACCAACATCCGCCAGCCTCTGTGCGCGATACTCATACCTCAACCACATGAGCTGACCCATGCACTCATCAATCGGCATGAGCAGTGATGCCCTCGACAGGGTGGATAAAAGAGAAATGATCGAATTCACACTTATGCCATTACTCTGCCAACTCCAAGCGGGAATGGGTTTCTGGTCAAACATGAGTAGAACCACTGCGCTGGTAGCGACAGCGAGGAAAGAGACGAGGAGGGCTACATATTCCCAGGCCCAGTAGTCGATCCGTTGCTTTTGGGAGTGCAGCGGTATCGGGGCAGACGAAGGGAGGAGCGGCTTGGTACTGGAGGAATTCTGTGAAGATGCCATTATGGTGAAGAATGGGATTAATGGCAGTGGGGGTGAGTGTAATAGTTGTTGTTGTGTCCGGCGAAGAGACCTTATTTGAGTGAAACGGTCTCTTTGCCCCTCCGGTCGATATCAAACAAAGAGGTCAGCAAACTGCCGGATGCTGTAAGGCTGGTCGCTCAAGCACTCAGCCCGCCAATTCTACATTTCCACGAGTAGATCCTTCAGTACTGGAGAATTGCTGATTGGCCGTTTAAAGTCCCAGAAAGCTTGTCAGCACTGTGCATAAAGCTTGGTAAGGTCTCCAGCCAGTTGGTAACCAAGTATTTCGCGACGTTGAGAGAACATGTCAACTGCGCCATTGCCGTGGCGAACCACGATCATGGCTATTAATATGCACTTTGCTATGTCGCAAATGCGACAGAATATACGGGAAGCTACTCCTTCGCTGGGAACACGATTCCCGAAATTTGAGAGACCGTGCGTGCTTTCTAATGACTGTAGTGCAGTGTCTTTTATATAGCTTGGAAAGCGACTTTGTGTTATTACTGGTGGCCATGGGGTATTGCTCGAATCTAAGCCACTGAAATAAATAGCCATGGCGTCTAAGGGTTGTACGCAGTCAGAAGCTTACTTCCATGCTGACAAGTCTCTTTACGTGATTATTAAAATTATCCAGAGCCCTGTCGAAGGAGTTACTAATCGTTTGTATTGCTTAGGGGATAGGAGCTCCCAATGTGGAGCGCGAAGCCTCAGTTACACAAACGAGCCACGTCTTTGAAACCTTTGAAACGCAACGCCTCAAGGAGGAAGTAGATCGGAATAAGATTAAAATAGCGATGTCTCGGAACGAATCCTCATTGATTCGCATCGTCGACACCTTATTAAGGCGAATGTTGATAGTTTTCCCGCATTTACCGCAATTGGTGCAGAATATTGCTGTTTTCAGACTTGCACTGGTAATGACAGCGGACCGACTGAGCACATGTAGTTGCCCTGGCTGGTGTCGACCTCGATGCCTCAATTGGTCCGGGAGAGAGCCCTTAGACCTATGTAGATACAATGAGGGTTGACCGGAAATGAACCAAAGATAAGTAATTTGGATTGATAAATTAAGTCGATAAGCGTCAACGACGATGGGAAAGTTTTTGGAGATTTGGTCCCGCAAGGAATCATAATACTGACGACAAAACCTAAGTTATCGGTATGATAGAAAGTAGAGGCTAATCTCCTTGAAGAGGGGCAGCCGTGTTCCCAATTGCAAGAAGACACGGCGTTCACTGAGCGCCAGCCCGGCCTGACTGCTCTGATTTAAACTTTGGACAACATGTGCCTTTTACTACATGTGGCCAAGAAGCGGCCATCCCTGCGGATTGTCTCCTCAACCCGTCACGGAATTCCAAGCTAGCTCCAAACTATGTAACTTATAAAGTTTGTTTCGGATACGTAGCCGTTGGTGGTAACAACCCTTTTTAAGCCACGTGGTCGGAGAGTATGCTGCCCTTTTGCATTTCTCTTGGTTGGTGATTACCATCTTTTTCTTCCCTCGATGATAATCAACCCTCCTCACCGGCCGACCATTGATGAGTGCTAGATGCTGTCCCCAGCGTAGGCATCACTTTAGTTTAATAAACATGTCTCAATTCTCTCATTCAACGTCTCTCCCATTGGATACCCAAAAGAACGTGACTTTAGCCGGGGGGTTAACCTGCGTGGATGGTAGCCCCTGGAGTGTTGGTGACAAAATATCTAAAGTAAGAAAAATGGACAGAGCTTGCTTGCTACTGGTCGCTGGTCATACAGTATCACTCGAAATAGCGAGCTGATTAGATAAGATTAGATTCTCATCGGTTTTAACGGGATTCGAGGAACTTATCACGGCTCTGGCTGGGAAATTATCATGAGTTGTAAGTCTACATTCGAGATTTAGTGTAATGGAAGGCTCTAAGATCCGTTGTTTTTGTGCTTGGTGCCGACGGCCATTAAGACATCTCTTTCGTAGCCGGCAGCAATATTGCTGGCCGTATCGATCCTTTGTTTAGTTTGGATGACAAATTCTTCTTTACCTGGCTCAATTAACCACTATTCTACGCAATCAAAGTATACAATACTCCGGTGAACCTGGAGGCACCGTGGAATGGTTCTGCCAGAGATGAAAGTTCATTTAATAAAACGCGTCGATGACCCAATTGCAAGGCGTTGTGCCGCATGCCCAGTCAACCTCCCATGTGACCACCTATCGAGATTACATCGGAGCTTGTCTGACCTGGAGGCTTTCTGAGCAGACAGCTGGGTCACGAGAAGGCGTTTACCTACTCTTCTCACGGCGCTCATATCGCCGGCCGCTGATAAATCAATCTCGGCCGACTCCACGGGTAGAGATATTGCCATATCTGCATATCTGACGATATTTCAGCTCCATAAGTAGAGAAAGTATGTAGGCGGCCGGGTATGGGCGCTCTGCAACTCTAGAAGGTTGAACTCTCCTCTGCAACCGGGTTGCTCATTCGGGTTCCTCATGTGCAGGATGGCTTTGTAATGCAATGTGGGTTTCCTGGGTTTTTACAGGTCTTCACGCGTCTCGTCTATGCAATTCACTATTGCTTATTTCTCCCGCCTTTCTGGCGCTAGGTTTTCAACCAATTTAAGCCTGTTGAAGTAACTATTAACCAAATTTTATAGGAATCGCGGCCCGGAAGCTCCGGTTGAATTAAGAAATATTCACTTGCAGAATTTTCATAAAGGATAATTTTTGAGCTTAGAAGAGGCGTCTATTTCCAGGCGTTCCTGGCCGCCATTGACGTACCCATCAGGCCGGGTGTCCTGCCCTTCCTAAGGGGGTAGAGGAGTTATGTATGTATGTACGCTCGGATCAGGGGGCGACACTCCCCGACTAACGCTAGCATTTAGCCTGCGCTGCACAACCAGGCTTGCCGACACTCCGCGACAATTATCTCCAGTAATATACAATCAGCTCCCCTAACACTCTGCTGCTCCTGCCTGCATACTAAGAGTCCCCCCCGCATAAAACATGGGTGATTTGCGTGGTTCGGTTATGTGAAATCCGGGGTCACGAGAAACGTTCTCGGTAAGAACCGAGAAATCATGGCCGGGGACAGCTTGGCTAGGCAGGATTGGTGTCTAGTGACAGTCGTCGGAGTGAATGGGTTCCTGTCCCCGATGCCAGTGTGATGGGCTTATGGAGCTATGCGATGCGATGTCCCGTCTAGCTACCTAAAAAAAAAAAAATATCAACCAGGTAGTTTACTCTACTGCCGCGTTTTATGTAGATAGCTGGCCATCTTCAACGCGGGAATGAGGCAGCCTATGCGAGTATATAACCCCCAATTCCCGCTCAATTAGAAGGCACAAGTCAATCAATCAATCAATCAATCACGTCCTCGCTCCTCACTCCTCCTCCTCCTCTCTCCCTCCCTCCCCTCTTACGGAAAAATGACGATCTCACCTCTTCCTAAGGATCTGCAAAAAAAGGTCAATGATGTCCTTGATTCATTAACACTCCTCGAGCAAGTTTCCCTCCTCGCCGGTAAGGACTTCTGGAGAACCGTCGAGATTCCTGGAAAGGTTCCTAGCATCAAGGTCACCGATGGACCCAGTGGCGCAAGAGGACAGTTCTTTTCGGGAGGCACAAAGGTAATTTAGCACCCTGTAGTGGTGAATGAGTATGGTGGTGGTAGTGGTGATTCTGATTGATTTATTTGTCCCAGGCCGCATTCTTCCCCTCTGGTGTTTCCCTCGCAGCAACCTTCGACCCTGAGCTCATCACACATATTGGAAACGCCCTTGGGCAGGAGACAAAGACCAAGGCAGCCCAGGTGCTTCTCGCCCCAACAGCATGTAACCACCGCTCGCCACTCGGAGGCCGCAACTTTGAGTCCTTCTCCGAGGACCCATATCTCTCTGGAAAGTTAGCAGCATCTTACATCAGCGGAGTCCAGGCGGAGGGGGTGGCCGTGACGATGAAGCATTTCGTTGCCAACGAGCAGGAGACAAAACGATTTAGTGTTGACGAGATCATTGGCGAGAGGGCACTGAGAGAGATTTACCTGAAGCCCTTTGAGATTGCGGTTAGAGAGGCGGGACCATGGGGAATTATGAGCTCTTATAACCAGGTTAATGCGGTATGTTAATAATCTCCCTATCAATGATCGATGCAGCTACTAAATTGTTTCTTGCAGCACCACGCCGACCTGCACCCGTTCTCGATGAAGCAGGTCCTCAGGGCCGAATGGGGCTGGGACGGCCTCGTCATATCCGACTGGGGCGGAACCAACAGTACCACCGAGTCTCTTATCGCTGGTCTCGATCTCGAGATGCCGGGCCCCACCCGCCGCCGTGGCGAGCTCCTCCTCAAGGCAGTCAAGGACACGAACTCATCACCGGAGATTCTCGCCGCCATCAAGACTGGTGCTCGCCATGTCCTAGAGCTTATCGCCAGGACAGGCAGATGGGGAAAGTTCCAAGAGGCCGAAGAGCAGGCAGTCGACAAGCCCGAGCACAGAGAGCTCATTAGGAAAACCGGTGCCCACGGAATCGTACTGTTGAAGAACGAGGGCGCCACCCTGCCCATCAAGAGGGAGCAGATCAAGTCCGTTGCATGGATTGGGCCTAATGCCAACGAGACCATTGCTGGAGGTGGAGGATCTGCGAACTTGAACCCGCACTACCTCACAAACCCGCTTGAGTCCTTCACCGCGGCGGTCGAGGAGAACGATATCAAGGTGGCCTATGAGGTTGGTTGCCAGACTGAGAAATGGGTCCGCATCTTCCCCGTCGAGGAGGGACGCGCACGTACCGCACCCTCCGCCACCGAGGGTGCTCCCGGTCTCAAGGTCGACTTCTTTGGCGGGCGTGAATGCTCAGGCAAGTGTGTTGCGTCAAACGTGATGAACACCTCAAACATCTTCCTTATGGACGGAAAGCCACCGGCTCTCGGTGACCAAGACTACTCGGTCAGGATCACAACATATATCAGGCCCGAGGTCACCGGTGAGCATGTTGTTGGCGTCGGCTCCATCGGCCCCACAAAGATCTACGTCGACGACGAGCTCTTGATCGACCACACCCACTGGATCGAGCTGGGCGAGCTCTTCTTCACCAGCGGCTCAGAGGAGGTCACCCAGAAGATCCATCTCGAGGCCGGCAAATGGTACAAGCTCGTCGCCGAGACCACCTCCAAGGGACCCGATCAGAAGCTCCCTGATATGGGCAACGACAACCTCGACTTCGCCTCTGCCATCGGCATCAGGCTCGGTATCGACACCGTGCGGGACGTGCAGGAATACATTGACCGCGCAGCCGCACTCGCAAAGAAGTCTGATGTCGCGGTGGTCGTTGTTGGCATGAACAACGAGTGGGAGTCGGAGGGCTACGACAGACACACCATGGCGCTCCCCGGCAAGCAGAACGAGCTCATCGAGGCCGTCATCAAGGCGAACCCCAGCACGATCGTCGTCAACCAATCCGGCTGCCCGATCACCATGCCCTGGCTCGACCGCGTCCCCGCCGTCCTGCAAGCCTGGTACCAGGGCCAGGAGGCCGGCAACGCCCTCGCGGACGTCCTCCTCGGCAAGGTCAACCCCAGCGGTCGCCTCCCAATCACTTTCCCGAAGCGCCTCGAGGACAACCCGTCATTCGGCAACTTTGGCGACGGCGGCGAAAAGAACCAGATCAACTACACCGAAGGCGTCTATGTCGGATACCGCCACTACAACACGCGCGACATCCCTGTGCTCTTCCCATTCGGCTTTGGCCTCTCGTACACGTCGTTCGAGGTCGGCGCACCAACGGTCGATGAGGCATCGTTCGCCATCGGGAAGAAGATCACGGTGGAGGTGCCGGTGAAGAATACGGGCGCTATCAAGGGTATCGAGACAATCCAGGCCTACCTCGCGCCGAAGAAGTCGGCCGTCGACCGCCCGAAGCGCGAGCTGAAGGGCTTCGCGAAGATTGAGCTCGAGGCGGGCGAGAGCGGCGTGGCGAAGATCGAGCTGGACCACTACGCGCCGGGGTTGTTCTGTGAGAAGAAGAAGTGCTGGAGGGCGCTAGAGGGGCGCTATGTTGTGGAGGTGGGGAGGAATGTGCAGGATATTGATGGCGCTGTGGAGGTGGCGGTGGAGAGGGAGTATGAGTGGGTGTTTTAAAATGGGGGAGTGGGGGAGTGGGCTGTATATACATAGCTAGGGTTTTGTGAGATGGGTGCTGGTGAGATGGGTGCTGGTGTTTTTTTCTTTTTCTTCTTCTTTTTGTGTTCTCATGCGCATGTTTTGGTTTGAATTTTGTTTATATATTGGGTTGGGTATTTATGGACTGAATTGATGGGTTTTCATACTTGACTTGGAGTGAGCTTTGTTGCCGATGACCATGGATGATATGCGCATGCGTAGTTTATAAGGATCAGACCTATAACGAAACACTACTACAAAGAACATCTGAAAACCCACAACCAAGCGTCTGTCCAGGCCCCCAAGCACCCACTACTCCACGATTAATTTTTTTTTAAACAAAGTAGCTTTCTTTCTTGACGTGCCTTTTGTAAACACCATAAGACCTTTAGTTCCCAGCGGCCAGCGACTAATAATAACCCACGTCTAGCCAAACAACTCAACCTACCCAATCTCTATATAAACATCACACGCAGAGTGACACACGCCATATATCACCCACTAGGTTTAGATTCCCGGTTATATACATGCACAACACGACCCCTCCCGCCCAAAACACTAACCCTAACCCTGTATATTACCATTTTCCAATAAAACTCAAGTGTTATTCCAAAGAATAAAGAGTGGTAAACAAAAGGCACAAGAAAGAACAAGCAAGAACAGGGTAAGTAACGAATGACCTACTTACTGGGGACGTCACGGCGACGGCGGCGGTGGTCAACATTGTTCGCGGTTCCTAGTGGACTTTGGTTCTTGGCGGAGGGTCTTGGGGGTATGGGGGCGAGTGATGGATTGTGATGCAACGTCCCCGCGGGGGGGGGGGGGGGAGGCTCATTTTCAGGCACCGTTTCGGTTGTGAAATACCCCATAATCGGTTCCGGGAGCGCTGTAGGGTACCTGCATCGCATTATGGTTCACAATGTGGTTTAAAGAAACTACTGTGGTGGGATTTAAACCACTCAGTGGTTGTCTAAAAAGAGTACAAAAGGTACTGCAGCGGCTTATTGAGAAATTTGCGCTGCTACCCCCACCCCTGGTTCGAACCCAGGACCTAATGTGTGTGTGATTGTATCCTGGGTAACACGCGGTGTCTAACCCGGCGAGCAGTCCATTAGACCACCCGCCAATGGTGTATAATGCGCTGGTGTGATACTTGAGCTAGCTTGGCGGTGTGCCAAGATGAGGCAGAACCCCTAACCCTTTGATGTCAACCATAATATTCAACATACCATCATTGGCTTCGAGTGCCGGGGTCCTCGCCGAGTCCTGGTCGCAGGGCTTAGTCCTCTGCACTGCACATCACTACGATTTTAGGATGCCTACGACTGAATTAAAGAGAATTCATTCTAGGGCTAACTAGGGTTTCATCTACATCTTATTCTTCGCGTGTTCCAAGTTTCTTTCTAGGAACGCTAAGATGTATGTATCGACGCCCCACCACAAGGATCTCCACATTGCCATCAATATATCTATCATTGACCTTCAATCACAACATTAATAACATAATCAATAAATAAAGCAAACTTCAAGAAAGCAAATAAACGAACATAAGAAAAACCACAGCAAAAACAGCCACATCACACATAAACTACGTCTATAAACAACCCCCCCCCCCTTTACCCCTCACCCCTCACCCCCCTCCCCCAGCCACACCACCACCAACTACGCCTTCATCCTCACCCCCAAATGCATCCTCCTCACCCTCAACACCATATACGCTATCCCTCTATACGCCACCGTGGCGATCGCCAACCCCACAATATTCCACCACACGCCCTTCGTCCCCATACCAAACAGCGCCAACGCCTCCTCCCCCGTCTCCAGCGGGCACCTACCGCCGGGCAGCCTCTGCGCATCCGTACACGTAAACTTCACCCCCATCATCGAATACGGCGCCAAGTTCTGCGTCGCATACTTACTGGGGCTGAGGTAATTAAACGCCTCGAGGAAGCCCGGCATGTCGATGCTCATGATACCGCCCATGAACACGCCGATGGAGAGGATGGTGCTCGTGACGTTGACGGAGAAGCCTGTGTGCGCGAAGAGCGTGTTGAAGAAGATGCCGACGCTCTCGCCGCACGAGGTGATGCAGAAGGCGTTGAAGGTGATGATGAAGAAGAGCTTAACGGTGCGCGGGAGGCCGACGGCGAAGACGGCGAGGACCGAGAAGATGAGGGAGGTGGCGAGCTCGAAGGGGAGCTCAAGGGTGAGGTAGGCGAGGAAGAAGGCGGTGGTGCCGTAGGCGCGGTCGTCGTGTTCTTTGTAGAAGACGTCGCGCTCGAAGGGGTAGATGGAGACGTTCTGGAGCATGCCGACAAAGATCACTGCCCGGTTTGTTAGCATCATGGACTATCACTCACCCCTTACTTCCCAGGCACCCGGCAGAACAACAAGAAGAAAATACTCACATGGCAAGAACTGCTGCACAAAACCAACACGATTCTGCACCGAATAATAATCGTTCTTCAACGGCGAGAAGAACAGCGCCAATATAATCCCCAACCCCACCACCTGCATCAGTCTCGCGACAACCTGCTGTGGCTGCCTCCTCAAATTAATCAACCCTCTCCGGACCAGAATCGGGTACGCCGTGCGGAACGGCGCCTTCGCCCTCTTCATCTGGCCCAGTTCCGCGGGCAGACTAATCTCCTTCGGCGCCGCCCCTTCCACCAATGCCAGCGCCTCGGCGTGCGAAAACCTCTCAACCAGCCTCTGCACCTTCACTCTCGACGCTGCCTCGCGGCCCGCATGCTGCAGGTCCACTGTTACGAGGTCGAGCGCGAAATCGGCGGGGTTGGTGGTGGTCGGGCACTCATGGCCCAGCGAGGCAAAGTATGGCAGCATCTGGTCACCCTTGCCCGAATACACGACATGCCCGCCCCTGGCCAGCAGCAGGATGTTCCCAAAGCCTTGAAAGAGGTCTGAACGACTCTGGTGAATCGTCGAGATCACGGTCCTGCCTTCCTCCGCGAGCCCGCGAAGCACTCCAAGGATAGACGCAGCCGTGAAGGCATCGAGCCCGGACGTCGGCTCATCGAGTAGTAGGATACGGGGCTCGGTCAGGATCTGGACAGCAATGGTCACACGCCGCTTCTCACCGCCCGAGATGCCCTTCGCGAATTCACTCCCAATGAGGTTATCTGCACAGTCCTTCAAGCCCATCTTCAAGATGACCTCCTCCGCCCGCCGGTGCTTCTCCTCCTTCGACATCCACCCGGGCAGCCTCAGCGCGGCCGCAAACTGCAGCGTCTCTCGCACCGTCAGCGACGGCAGCAGTGCATCGTCATCCTGCGTCACATACGAGCACAGCGAACGGATCACGGTGTCTGACGGTAGCGCGCCATTAAACAGCATCTTCCCCGCCGAGCGATACCGCGTGGAGATCGAGCTGTGGAGCCGCCTCGCCATCAGGTTGAGGAGCGTGCTCTTGCCGCTGCCAGAGGGGCCCATGATGACATTGAGCTTCCCGGCCTCAAAGCGAGAGCTCACGCCTTTCAGAATCTCGAGCTCTACGGTGCCCTTGGTCTTGCCAAACAGCCCGAGTGACATGCCGGGTTTTTCGATGGTGAGACTACAATTATCGAGCACAACCTCGATTTCTTTGACCTGCTCCCTACCGGTGCGGGTGATGCTCTCCTTCCCGGCGCTGCGGTCTTTCTCGTCAGACTTTGGGCGTGCGGAGGAGACATTGATATCAGTGGGCTTGAATTTAAGCAGCAGGCCTGCAACAATATAAAAGAACACCGCCCACGAGACGTTAATGACTATCGGCACAGTCCGCCAGTGCTCGGGGAAGGAAAGAGAATCCAGGATGAATTTGCCCGTATACTCGAGGCACGCAGGGTTTGTCGGGGACGCATTCGTAACTGGGCAAGCATAGAACTTATCAGAGAACTCGTTCGAGACGAGAGCTCCAAAAGCATACCACTATATATCATCCACCAATCAGCACCCCTCCTCCGGCATCACAGGAAATAACTGGGGGAAACTTACATTGTACGAGATGTATTTACACCACCTCACATAGACCGGCATGGTGCTCGCCTGGATGAAATACCCGCACGCCATACTCTGCACGGTATACGACAGATTCCCCACCAGCACCGCCTCCGCGAAGTTTCTACTCACACCCACACACAGCGTCGCAAAGCTCACGGCCAAAAACTGGCCTACCAGCACGATAGCGAAAAACACAAAGTACTGCACTGGGTCCGGATCGAACCCAACCATAAAGTAGAAGATGGTGGAGAACAGGAACGGGACAGCAATATCCTCACAAAGCCTCGCAATACGTCTACTGACCAGGAAGCCAATAACGCTAACAACGCCCTCGCCGCGCTCACGGTCAAACAGCTTGATATCAATCTCACAGATACGGTACGTCTCAAAGAGGAGGATGAGGTAGCCCTGGAGCGAGGCCGCAATATAAAGCGCTGCCTCCCGAGTCCTGATCCCAGAGAGAGATTTATTGACGTCAAAGAAGATCCAGCCAGCAACCACACCCATAATGATGGCCTCAAAGAGCGCACCAGCAATGCCCATAGGGTCTCTAAACGTGATCTTGAGCCCTCTTCTCGTCAGCACCGCAATCTCCCTCCCAAGCCCAGGTCCAGACTGCAACTTCTTCCCACCACTCTGCTGCGGAGAATCACCAACATCCTTCTCCCCACCACCACCACCACCACCACTCTCCTCCGCTAGCACCTTCCCCTCCGTCTCCCGCCACCTCTCCACCAACCCTGTAATCCTCGCTCTCGACTCATCCTCTGCCCTCACACTACGATAATCCACCGCCGCCAAATCCACCAAAAAGTCCGCCGGATTCTCATGCTCCCTCAGCGGCCACCCCAGCCCCCCAAAATGGGCCAACACGCCCCCGACCCTCCCCGCATATAGCGGCCGCCCGCCACTCAGCAGCACAATGCGATCAAACAGCCCCCAAATCTCTGACCGCGGCTGATGTATCGTCGCTACCACCG